ACCTCACTTAGCAAAATGAGCTACCAACTGATAGATTAGTGGCAATGGAAACTTTGCTGATCACGTTAGATGGGTGGGTCTCACCACTCTTTTATCCCTTGGTAAATTGCACCGCCAGCTCATAACCAGTAATCCCCTCAACACACGCACTTACGCAAGGATGCATGAACACGTACGCGCACATAAACACATGCACGAACGCACACGTGCACACGTCCGCGCGTGCATGTGTGGCGTGTGCGCGGGCCTAAATGTGTGTGTATTGTATAAATGATGAAAATAACAACAATGTATAACATAGTGCTTGGTCTCAACATACTTGTGTGCTTCTTTTAGGTGTCTAAACTGTAAACCAGCATTCACTAGGAAGTCACATGTTGGCTTAAGGATAAGAATTATAAGCTTCTTTTCTTTCTTTAATACAAAGTGATAGGTTTCTATGATATTTTACTTTTCTGCCGAGAGTATAAGGGCTCTGTAAGCCAGTATGCAAATACCTCAAGTTCACAAGCCCTTGAATTCCAAGGTTGTCTCATATATAAACTGTAAACCAACATTCATGAGTAAGTCACACATTGGCTTAAGGATAAGAATGATAAGCTTCTTTTCTTTCTTTAATGCAAACTGATAGGTTTCTATGATATTTTACTTTTTCTGCCAGGTGTATAAGGGCTCTGTAAGCCAGTACGCAAATAACTCAAGTTCACAAGCCCTTGAATTCCAAGGTTATCTCATATAAACTCCTATTGCGTATAAAAAGCTTACTTTTTAGGCATGGTTGTCTCATATAAACTCTTACTGTGTATAAAAAGCTTACTTTTTAGGCATGGCCTTCTCATCAGAAGTGTATATCCAGTCTATTCCTTTAAGTGCTGCTTTTTCGAGAGGATCGCCAACCTGCAATGAAAATAAAAACAAAAATATTAAGCTGTTAAATTTCATCATCAACTATAATGATAGACCATGGCCTAATAGAATGGGCATACCAATTTGTTCTCGACAAAAACTAAAGCATGACATGCTGCAAGAATTTCCACACTGTGTGACGGCAATTTAGTAGCATCTGATTCTAGATTCACATCATCTGCCAAAATAACTACTCCTTGAAACTCCTGTAATATAAAGAGTAATTGAAAATCATCATCATCAAACCCTCCTCCCAGCCAAATGAATTAGCTATGAACAGCTACAAAGTTGAGAAAGCTTCCAACGGAAATGAAAATAATACTTTGAATTGGATATAATTATCCACACTTCTCTATGAGCTGGTGCCAAATTTCCAGCCAGATAAGGCATTATCACCAAGAGGATAACAAGTCACTGAACCAATACGGCCAGTTGGCTGGTAGGTGGACCCACCTTTTGTCATGCAAATTAAGCTCATGGTCAACCATCCAAAGTCCTATGGAGCAAGAAAGAGTCTAGACAAACAGAGACATTACAAGAATTTGTGCAGGGAATTCCTATCTATGAGGCATGGAAATGAAAAAAACAATGCGAGGTGGAGTTGCGCCCATTCATAGCGCAAAATAACCGCATGCTAATATGACACATATCAAAGACTTAAGTCTAATAATGTAGTACCATGTCATCTGATGTGAGAGTTCCTGTCTTGTCAAAGCAACATATATCAACCTGCAGAAGAAAGATGCTAAAAATCAGATAAGTTACTTGTTGGTAGCTGATTATTAACAGGATACCAGCGGTCTGCTGTGCTTCTGAAAACCTTTCACTAACCTTCCCAGCAAAGGGTATTCTGAATGGCTCTGTGCAGAAAATACCGCGGCGAGCCAATGCAATTAAAGATGTATTAACAGCTATTGATAGCTCCATTGGCAGTTCTGGGGGAATCACAGAAGTTATAATTAAAGAACAACTCAGAAATAGTTTGTACTTGCTCCTAGTAGGATCCTCTAATCCCTACAAAAAAGAATCTCATAAGTGAATGCAGAATCAAAATGCAGAAGCAATCAACAATGCAGCTGACAAAATTGATAACAAAAAACAATATCTATTTTTTTCACATGATACCAAGTTCATCCAAGTAAATCTCACTATTACCTTCTTAAGCACATAGCCAGCAGCAATAATGGCAAAGAAAACCAAGAATAAAATGAATAGTCCACTTTCCCAGCTATTTGCAGTCACCTGAAACATCAATTGACAAAAGTTACTTGGAAGGACACAAACCCACACTTATCCTCTGTTGGCCAGTCCTGAGTTGGTTTGGAAACAACTCACTCTTTCAGTAGAAAATAAGATGGTCCGCATTAGTTTGCCTTGACTTGTTTCAAATCCAGTTCGTAGTACAACAGCCAAGCATCCCCCATCAGGTGTTTTGAGATGAAATGACTGGATTTTGAGAAATATCAAATAAGTTAACAATGAAGAGTGGCAATTAATTAAATGAAACAATATTACATACCTTATCTGGAGTATGCTGTAATATCTTTGTTCCGCCAAACAGCATATGGTTTTTATCTCTCTTGCCAGACAATTTATCTTCATTACTTCGTCCAGCAATGGAAGTCTGAAGGAACAAAAACATGATTAAGTAATTTATAATAAAAATAATCTTGGCTAGGGAAGTTGCACCAGAGGATTGAAATCATGAAGATGCATAACCAAAGTCCTTAATGCAAAGTCAAAAAGAATATAACAGAAGAAATGTACCCATTTCAAACTGTCAAAATACTTTTCAATTTGATAGTATGACGCCATTCACTAGAACCACTACTGTTAGATATTATTTAATAGCATTAGATATTAACAGATATTAGTAGATATTATTAGATATTATGATTTATGAGATACTATTAGATATGACCATAAGTCTATATCCAATACCTATTTTGCAATATCCTCCTAATCTCTATTATTTAAGAGAGGTTAAGACTTAGTTTCTAGATAAAACTAAATAGTACGAGAACTACCTTCCATTGCGGAGTGGATTCGCCTGTTAGAATGGCTTCATTCACTATCGCACTTCCAGCTAATAACAGCATGTCAGCTGGTACAGATTTGTCATCCCCATTTTGACCAGAGGAGCGTCCAATGGAGACAACATCTCCAGGAAGGAGGTCAGTCCCAGCAAGCTTTACCCACCTATAATGGTTAAATTTTCAGTTCGCAACCAATTCCATAATTCCTCGTTTGCAATAAAACATTAGCAAATAACATCAATAATGACATACTTGCCACAGCGATACACCATTAAAGTCTGCCCATCAACTCTTACGCGTCTAAGCTCAGTCAGGGTTTTCAACCTACTCTTGGCCATTGTTGACTCAAACAAAAAGAGCATAAAAAGGGTAAACAAGCTGTAGTACCAGTATTCATCCAAACACCAAAGGCCCACACAAAAGACCTAGACAATTAGAAGCCACCAAGTTAATATAAGGACCTAGTAAATGTGTAAGTTACAAGATTGCAATTAGGCTTGATGCTGAAAAGTTGAAACAGTACTAACTTGAAAAACAAAAAATGGCTCCATGCAATGCTCCTTCATCAACTTCTGAAATGTCGGTTGAGGATATTCAAACCTACACACAAAAAGGAGGTATTAGAAAATATGCACAACATTTATATGAACATTTTTACAAAAGGAAGTATTTTGGATAAGAAGAAGAGATTATATATCGTTGTGTAGCATGCTAGAAAAATAACAACCAACTATCAAAAAAAGTGAAATGAAATTAGAATTCTCTTGATACAGAGAAATGGATGAAAACTGTAGATAGCTAATGTATGCTTGAGTCTCAAATGTAAGTAGTTTGGAGTTGTGGCTGACTAAGTTTTGGATAAACACCAGATCATCAAGTGGACGAAATCAGTAATTTCTATGACCTAACACAAAATTACTTTCAAGCAAATGAGCATTCATTTAAAAGTTACAAATTATCCTTTCAAGAACAAGCAGCTGAAGCACAATTTTCAGATTGACTCTTATCACAAACTAAGTTAGAAACAAAACCACCTCACTCTCAACTATATCATATTCTAGACAGGAAATTGCATTCTTATGAATATTTTTTATTCTATTAGAAAACATCAGAAGGTCAGTCTCCAAAGAATTATATAAAATGTGAGGTATCGGAACCACATGAAAACATTCATCTATATGCACCGTTCCTTAAATCCAATTGAATATACAGAAGAAGATAATGGAGAAAGGTAAGTAAAATTAGAAAAGTCCTTATATGGTATCCAAAATGTTAGAACCACCTCACACATGGGTTGATTAAGAAATAGAACTTTGTGCAGGGCTTTCGAACTCCAATAGTAAAAGAGTGATACTAAAGTGCTCTTACAAAATTTCATAAATCATTCTTTCTTTCAACTTAGAACAGAACCAAATTTTGTTATTTAAAAAACTTACACATTTCGACCTATTAAAAAAACTTACACATTTCGACCCCACTTATCAGTAGCAGCAGCAACTTTAGCTTCTGTCCCATGGCCACTGCTCTTAAGATAATATCCAAATGATTCCTTTGTAGGGTATGGGAGTTTGCAAAAGGTTTCTTTCTCTTTTGAAAAAATGAAGCATTGCTTTCTAAAATCAAAATATATTTCATCATCGACATTCTTTGTTGAAGATGTTGATGATCCTGTAACCTGCACAAGTGAAACCCTATTCACTCAAGATACTATCTAACATTTTTTTATTATGAGTAAAAATGATATACAAATCCTGCATAATAGCATGAAAAGATACTTGCATATCGTTGCAGCAGAAGAATCAAATGCATCGATTACATTAAGCTGCCATTTAACTTCTCAAAGTACTTTATTGTGTATCAAGCCAGTGAATAGTAATTAAATATCTATAGTATTTAAATACCTGTAGCATGACAAATTACAGGCAGAAATTGGTCTGGATACTTTCTGGTAGAGTAAATTGCCCATACTTTAACAAAGTATCTGAATATAGATGTAAATTCCGTAAAATGATAGGACTTCATAAAGCCAGATAAACCCTCAATTATAAGATGATTAGAATGCCCCTAAAGTTATTTGATTGTATTGCATCCATCTTCAAGCAGTTGCATTATCATGTGACCTAATGTTGGTCCTTTAAATAAAATATCCTTCCACGTGTAATAGGAAAAACCTATTATATTAGGTTAAAGAAGTTTAGCTGTCAGTAAATATTTACCTAGCTAAACTCTTACTACCCTTACTAGCTAAAGGTCAATCTAAGTTACACGGGTGCAAGCAAGGATATGGGACATGGTAAACATGTAAAAGATAGGGAACAGGACACGGCTACACATACATATATATGTAATAATACTTCACGTGAGATCAAATTTTTCCTTTCGTGTGATATGAAATAAAATTCTTATAACACTTATATGTTTATTTTATAGCATACATCTATAAATTAGAAAATGGCTCAATTCTAAATCTGATATCGAAAAGACCCTTTATAGTCACAGGTTTAAACTGGGTAGATGCTAAACCGAAGTCCAACGAGTTTCAAGAATAGCATGTTAAGTGTTGCATATACATCCAAAAAGTATATGATGAAAGTTTAAACTAAAAACATGTATAATATAATTGAGTACACATTTGAATAAGTGTATGCAAATATCAAAGGAGTGTCCTCCGAAATTTTGTTGTTGGTTACGAGTACAACACAGATACGACACATGTACGATTTCAAATAGACGTACACATGCAACATAGAGGTCAATTTAACTTCACTCTGATGAGCCACTACTCTGATCTAGATCTAGTGGCAGTTTGTATGTTGCTGCCGGTAACTTGTTTTCTGCAATCAAGTAAAGAAACAGAAGGGATTTTGGAGGCTGATTAGGCTGTTTTGCTGCATCTTTCTGCAGTCAAACAGAGAGGCTCTTGCTGTAGAAAGAATATTAGGATAGGTTAAGGTGGCTTTCAATGAGTGTTGATGCATGATAGCGACACTGCTGCTGCAGTAAAAGAGAAAAGGAGGAGGGGAGTAGCTGGTTTGCAGGGAATTTAGAGTTTTTTTTTTTTTTGGATTTGGGTGTAAGGCTAAATACTGTGGAGAAGATATACTTGAACAAATAATTGAAAACACAGATAAGAGTTTGGGTTTCGTACCACTAGGTAAATCACTTATCTAATCTAGCATGTCACATGCTAATTTACACTTCACATGCACTCAAAAAGATAGATTTCTCAAAACTCATAACTTCATAAGTAATAGTCTGTTCTCAAAGGGAACAATTACACTTATTTAAAAATTGAAACATAATGCCAAATGATAGAAACAAATATTCTTCCTAATTGAAATCGCAACTGAAAATAACTTACTAACTAAATATATAAACTAAAACAGCAAGTACATTAACCTAGCTGAAAAAAATAAAACAAAATATCCTAACTAATTTTTCAAATCGAATCAATTCATATCTTGTCAGTTGGCATGCATCAATCCTCTCCTTGTTGGAGAAAACTCAAGCCAAGTTTTAGAACAGAATAATATGATGAAACCTTGTACTAATGTGATGTTGAATTGAAGGGATTGAAAGATCTTCAATAATATCTGTAAACTTAATATTCTGTTGGTATGAGAGGATCTGGTATAACAAACTACGTTGCTAAATACTCTCGAATTGGAACTGACTCAAACTCTATTGCTATTTCATTCTGCATCCAGATGTCAGACTCAGACTCGACTTGAGGCTCTAACTCTAGCTCTACAGACTGATTTTTTATTTCGTTTCAGATCAGCTTTCAGTTCTGGCTATAGTTCTGACTCTGTTTCTATTTTAACCTTCACTTCTAGTGTGGGCTTTGACTCTGGTTCTGGCATACGACATCTCTAGATGAGAAGTCCCTTCCCAACCAATCTATCTAATGTTCTATTCAAATCATTGAGTTTAAGCAATATCATCTTGAGTTTAACCTCCATGACGGTAAGTCCTTGGATAAATCAACTTGCTCTGTACGAATTATTGAGTAATGACTCTTAATTTTGATCTAATTGAAGCTTGTACATGGTGCCTAGTAGATTGTTTTTTGCTGTTGTGTTTGCTGCAATCAAATAGAGAGATTAAAAGGGTCTTCAAGAGTTGACTAGGCTTCTTTTCTGCACTCTTTCTGCAGTGAAACAGAGCATAGAGGCTCTTCATGTAGAAAGGAATTTCGGATGATGGTCAAGGTTAAGGTGGCTTCGTGCAAGCGTTGATGCATGGAAGCAACATTACTGCTGCAAGAAAAGAGAAAATAGAGAGGGAGTTGCTGGTTAGGAGGGAATTTGGAGTTGGTTTGCTTTCTTTTGATTTGGATGAGGCTAAATATTGTGGAGGAGATATACTTAAATAGGGGAAAAAAGATGAGAGTTTCGGTTTCACATTCCCTAGGTAAACTACATACCTAGTCTAGCATGTCACATGCTATGAAGCACGGATTCACCCCCGGAGGCCACGAATCGGTGTCTGACTCGAATCGGACACTGATTCGCCCCGATACGTGCACGACACGTGTCGGACACGGTCAAAGCCGTGTCCGACACGGGTCAACAGTCAACTTGGGCGGATACGGTCAAATTGAGGGCGGATACGGGTGAGATTCGTGAAATCAAAAAAACTGTGATTCGGATGAGTTAACAAAACCCGTAACCGAAACCCAAAAACCCATATCGAAACCCTAAAATCACCTCTTCTCTCCGCTGTTCTCTTTTTACCGCCGCTGCTCCTCATCTTCTCTCCGCGCCTCTAGATCCCGTCCTCGATCTCCGACGCCGCTCGTCCTCGATCTCCGACGCCGACGTCCTCAGAGCTCGTCCACATATCTCGTCCTCAGAACTCATCCTCAGATCTCCGACGTCTCTCTCACTAGGTAAGATCTCTATCTTCGATCTCTCTCTCTCTCGATCTGGTCGATTCGGCAGCGGACAGTGACGCCGCTCGTTCTCTTCTCTCTCTCTCTCTCTCTCTCTCTCTCTTCGTCTCTCTCTCTCTCTCTCAGATCTCATCCTCTGTCTCTCTCTTTTTCTCTTTATCTCCTCGTCTCTCTGGTTCTCTCTCCGTCTCTGGTTCTCTCAAGATTTCGTTGGTAATTTATTTAGGGTTAATGGGTTGGTTTAGGGTTAATGGGTTAATGGGTTGGTCCGTCTCTGGTTCTCTCAAGATTTTGTTTTTTTTTCAATTTTAGTTTCAATTTCAGTTTTAATTTCTTACCATATGAATATTTTTTCAATTTCAATTTCAGTTTTTAACACAAATGAATTATTAACTGAATTTAAACTTTGATTGACTGCATTTGTGTGTTTGATTGCTGAACAGCCTGAACTTATATAAATGTGTTGTTGATATTCACATATGATTAAATTGGTCTGTTAGATAAATAGCATTAGTTAAAAGGGCACGACATAATTCTTTTTGTGCATAATTATGAAGATAAATATTGTCTTTCTTGAAGGTAAGTAGCTGTTAACTATACATGTGTCTTTTTAAATAGATAAACTTATATGCATGAACATGGTCATTGAGAATTGTGATGCAAAATTTGAATTTATATCTTATATGCATGAACATGGTCATTGAGAATCTGAGATCATTATCACTCAACTATTATTACAATATGAATATACATATTTAATGAATATATTATGGACATTTATTTTGGCAGCTGTGTTGGAAAATTTGATTGATCCTTCATCCTTGCTTGTTGCTACTTTACTCTCAAGTATAATCTGTAAAAAGAAAAACAAAGTCAGTGAGCAACAACTTATTAATTAGTATAATTAGAAAAGAGCTTAAAATAGTAATTAGCATGCTAACTAATAAATTATGAACATGTAAATATTTAATACATATTTCTTGCAATGTAATTCATATTATGTTCCATATATGTTATGGTTTAATATTTAATTAGTACTTGTTGTTGTTTATAGCAATGGAAGCAGAAGGTAGTTCTGATGCACAGTCTGTTCAAGATGATCACACTCCTTTGTGGAAGTATGTCACAAAGTTGGAGAAGATGGGTAAAGGAGGGGGGAATTGGCAGTGGATGTGTAGTTACTGTCATGAAGTATTTACATCCTCTTACTCAAGGGTCAAAGCTCATCTAATGCGGACTAGTGGGCAAGGAATTAAAGTGTGCAAAGGTGTTAAGCCGCACAATATGAGAGACATGCAAGCTGATATGGATCAAGCAGAAGCAAGGGTGATGGCTTCTATGCCTAGGACAGTGACGCTGCCAGGTTCTTCAGCATCAAGTGCAGCAGCAGGAAGTCAACGCATGCCTTCTCGTCTAAGTGAGCCAAAGAGGAGGAGGGGAGTCACCACTGTTGAACAAGCCTTCAATACAGGGGCAAGAGATGAATTGGATTCAATGATTGCAAGGATGTTCTATACTGGTGGGTTGTCATTTAATTTGGCAAGAAATCCTTATTTCTCCAAGATGATCACATATGCCGCAAGTAATTCAATTACCGGTTACAAGCCTCCGGGTTATAATTCTTTGAGAACCACTCTTTTGCAACGTGAGAAGGCTCACGTAGAGAGGTTGTTGGAGCCCATCAGGGGCACATGGAAGCAGAATGGGGTTTCTATTTGTAGTAATGGCTGGGCAGATGCACAGAGAAGACCACTGATAAATTTTATTGCGGTCTCAGACAACGGGCCAATGTTCTTGCACTGTGTGAATGCTGAGGGAGAGCAGAAGAATAAATATTTCATTGCAGAGAAGCTTGAAGCTTGCATTAGAGAGGTGGGGCCTCAAAATGTGATCCAAATCATTACTGATAATGCTTCGGCATGTAAGGCAGCAGGGGCAGTTGTGGAGGGAAAATTTCCACATATTTTCTGGACTCCATGTGTTGTTCACACCCTCAATCTTGCCCTTAAGAATATTTGTGCTGTAAAGAATACAGAGGCTAATGCAATTGCTTATGCAGAGTGCAGCTGGATTACAGAGGTATATGATGATGCTTTGATGATTAAGAACTTCATCATGAATCACTCAATGAGGCTGGCTATGTTCAATGAGCATTCGAAGATGAAGCTTCTTTCAATTGCTGATACTCGATTTGCTTCATGGATCATCATGCTGAAGAGGTTCACGGTGATCAAGAGAAGCCTCCAAGATATGGTTCTTAGCGACCGTTGGAGCTCGTACAGAGATGATGATGTGGGAAAAGCACAGTTTGTTAAGGAGAAAGTGCTTGATGATTTGTGGTGGGATAGGGTGGATTATATTATTGCTTTCACTGCTCCTATATATGATATGATTCGGCTCACCGATACCGACAAGCCCAGCCTTCATTTGGTATATGATATGTGGGATACAATGATTGAGAAGGTGAAGGTTGTTATTTACAGACATGAGAGCAAAAGAGAAAATGATCCCTCCTCATTTTATGATGTCGTACACAAGATCTTGGAGGATAGATGGAATAAGAGCAACACGCCACTTCAGTGCTTGGCGCACTCTTTGAATCCAAGGTAATAATTTAGATTATGTTATCAATTCATTATTTTTGATGTGATTATTTTTATTAATAATGTCTAATTCAATGTTAAACTTTAATAGATATTATCACGAGACATGGCTGAATGGGAATATCCATCGGCAAGCACCCCATCAGGATGAGGAGATCTCTTCGGAAAGGACCAAGTGTTTGAGGAGATATTATCCTAATACCGATGAACGGAGGATGGTTAACTTAGAATTTGCTAAATTCTCGGCTGCTCTTGACATTTTTAGGGATCCAGATTCTCTTGCTGATAGAGGATTTATGGATCCAGCAGCATGGTGGGCGCTCTATGGATCCTCAACTCCAAATATTCAAGCATTGGCCTTCAAGCTTCTAGGCCAACCCTGCTCATCCTCTTGCTGCGAAAGGAATTGGAGTACATACTCATTCATTCACTCTTTGAAGAGGAACAAGATGACACCGGAAAGGGCAGAAGATCTTGTGTATGTGCATAGCAATCTTCGTTTGCTTTCTCGGTCATCCCAAGAATATAAAGAAGGAGAATCGAAGCTGTGGGATATTGGTGGAGATGCATTCGACTCATTTCAGGGTGCCGGTATTCTTGATGTCGCCACCTTGTCTCTTGATGAACCCACCATGGAGGCTATGTTGTTTGCTGATGATGAAGGGCCAGGCAATGAAGAAGTCATCGAACTAGCTTCCACTTTATCTTGATGTATTTTTTATTTACAAACTTGTTATTTTGTGATAGAATGAGTAGAGTATGTACTCCAATTCCTTTTTGTTTACAAACTTGAAACTCGTTATTTTGTGATAGAATGAGTATGTACTCTAATTCCTTTTTGTTTACAAATTTGTTATTTTGTCATAGATTCATAATTTAGATTGTTAGTTGAATTTTATAAATTTGTTATATATATAATAATTTGAAAAAAAATTCCTCGCCGTATCCCCGTATCCTATTTTTTTGGATTTTGCCGTATCCCGTATCCGTGTCCGTGTCGTATCCGTATCCCGTATCCGTATCCGTGCTTCATAGGTCACATGCTAACTTGCACTTTACATGTACTCAAGAAAGAGATTTCTCAAAACTCATAACTTCATTAATTATAGTTTATTCTCAAAAGGAACAATTTCACTTCTTTATAAACGAACCATAATGTCAAAAGATAGAAACAAATATTCTCCAAACTAAAACCTAAGGGCATAATTGTTTCATTTCCTGAAATAATAGGAATCCTTCTCCATGTATAAAAAAATCCATTTCCAATGGTTTTCATGGGTTTCTTGAAAAAGAGTTTTTTTGCACCCTTGAAAAATGGGCAGAAATGGTTTTTTACACTTTTCTGTAGTTTGGATTGAAAGAAAAATTAGGATCCAATGATAACAATATTTTTCCATCAATTCCCCATTATCTAAATATTAAATTCCACACTTCTTTGCAGTCCATTTCCGAGCAAGAATGGAAATATTTTTCCACATAAAATGTCAATTTGCAATGTTTAAAGAAAACTTTTATAAAATTGAGTTGTGAATCAAACACGAGAGTAGGAAAAGTAAAATTTTCTGACAATGTCAGGGGGTTTCCATCAGTTTTTGGGGTTTCCACTTAAAACAGACATACCCTAAACAGAAAAATAACTGTCTAACTAAATATACAAACTAAAATATCAACTACATTATCCATAAAAGTAAACAAAATATCACAACTAGCTTATCAAATCTAAGTGGTTGTTTGGTTGGATGGAAATGTACTTGCAAACTTAAATATCGCTATCGGATTTGTAAATACCTTGTTTGGTCTACAACATTGTAATTAGGAAAGGTAAGTGGACTTGTATTTTGTAGGAAAAAAAAAGCTTATAACAACTGCTACAGCCAATTTGCTGGGAGAAGCTGCAGCCTGCAGGCTTCGAAAAAGAGAAATAAAAATAAAAATAATCCCACCTCATCAAAAAAATCTCTTTAAATCTAAATAGGAAAATCATCTACACACATGTTTCCTTATATGACAAAATTTTGTAGCTTTTGCAATAATTGTTTTTCAACCAAACATTGAATTTGCATTGCAAATACATTTTCTACAATAAAATTGTAGATATCCAAATGAACTTTATTTCCTGCAAAAAATGTAGCATGCAATATTTCAACAACATTTTCCGCAATTAATTTTCGCAGCAAACCAAACAGCCTCTAATTGATTCATATCTTGTAGGTTTCATGCATCAACTTCTAATAATCCTTACTAAATTTTTAACCCAAATAGAAGTTGTAGAAACCCAAAATGAGTTAACACTTTTTTTTTTCACTATCACTCTTCCCATTCTAAACTCTAAACCATGAGCCCTACTAACTGACTGCCTCCGATAGTTAGGTCTATTCTTTCCCAAGTGCTACCAGAATCCTGATTTTGATTTTCATATACGCCTATAATCATTGCTCTTTAAGAATTATATGCTAAGAAACGTGTATTTGTTATTCTCCTTCACATAATTGTTCCATAAGGATAAACTTTTAGTCATCAATGAGATACAAGGTAATAAAAGTGAATGAAGAAGGTAGTTATGTTAAGCGAAAAGAAGAGAAAGGAGTAACATAGGCTAGGGTTAGGAGCAGAAGAAAAGGAGATGGTAAAGGTTCTCATCAAGAATTATATGAGAGAAACAATAGGGATTAAGATGGGGAAATCTATTAGCAGAACACCTTAACCCCTTTAGTCCAAACATATCAAACATGTTCAAGGGGTGCTTGTGGATCTTGCTAGTATCCTAACTCAACCACAATATCTAAGGTTGATCCAGTAATCAATTCACTTTCAACACACCAATTACCTTAAATGCAGAGGAGTTATCTCTGATTTTAGAGCCTATTTGGCAACAATTAATTGGAATTCTATGAATTATAGTTAATAGATTGATCAAAAGTCTTTTTTTCTCATTTGGAATTGAAAGACTGAAAAAACTTCTCAAGTCATACCAAATTTTGTTAAATAATGAAGTAGTAGTATTCACTTCCATATTAGTTAATTGACTTAATTCTAATAGACGAGATCTAGCAAGCCTTGTATTATTTCACAACTTTCTAGTTTGTGATTCAACACTATCATTTTTGGCATTTTTGGGTTTCTAACTTCTCTATCATTAATGCCAAAACCTCTCTCACCCACCAGGCTCTTCTCTTTCAATCATTCTCTCCTATTTCTTTCCCAGCAACATAATGTGTAAACATATAGACCATAATCCTATTGGCTAGACTATGAACTTGAAACATATCAACTAAAAAATACATGTGAGCCATGAAATTGCAACACAGAACTTTTAACTGCATCATACCAAATAAAATAAATTGGAATTGTAATTCCATGGTTCTCAATTCCATAAAGTTGGATGAAATTGCAATTTCCATAGCAACCAAATGGTCCTTAGCAAAAAACTCAGGGTGGTATCAAACTTTATCCCTTGACAACAATGCTCAATAATTTCCAACCAATAATAAACTCCTCTGGAGAAAGGAGAACCTATAGGAAAGAAAACAGACAAAGAATGTAAAAAACTACAAAATTTTACTATCGCAGATCTTTTCAATTTAGGAGATAGAGGTTAGAAAATCTAATCATGTTAACAGAACCCATAGGACAAGATAGCCAGCCACTTATACACCCTATCAATGGCTATGGCTCCTTTATGAAGTAGCAAGACCTAGGTGACTATCCAAACAATTACCTAAATGCTAGGGAACCAGCAGCAATTGTTAGATGAGCTTAATGGTATGGGCAGATCTAAAAGGTTCCACAGAGCAATTTAGACAGAATAACAGCTCGTCATGTCATAAATGAAATTCTGAGGAATGTAGCATCACTATAGTCACATTTAGATTCCTGAGGAATTGACAGATTCATAAAAATATTCCACTGTTTGATTGTTAATTCACGCACTACACAGAACAAACTACCTTGTGTTTTTCTTTTTAATTAGGCAGGCAGGAATTAAGTACTATTGAGGCTTTTGCTGTGTGATAGCCTAGCCAATTTGAAAAGCACAACAAACATGATAATCTAATTACATAACTGAAATCAGTGGCCAGTGGTAGAAGAACTTACATGTCTCCGAAAATGAAGCGGCACGATTTCTTTCGAGCCCGAAAACTTGGCTGGAGTTACTTTACACGCATCTGCAGAATCTATATCTTTAGCCTGCACAAAAAAAATCACAATTACAAACAACAATTATAAACAAGAATGGTCATCTGCAATCTAATACCCCAAAGTTTCAACCTTTTTGACTTGGCAATTTGATATCCCAAAGTACAAACAAGTTGAGGTTAATTTTGTTCGGTAATACGAACGTAGAAAAGTTAATGAGAAAGAAATATTCTTACAATATTTCAACTTTTAGAGCTTTGTGGTTTCAAATTGTCAGTTCAACGTCAATTTGAAAGCTTTTAGGTATTAAAGTGCAAGTAAAAATCCCAATCGATAATTAAAAAAACAAGATCAAGAACACGAATTTACCTTGCTAAATTGAACGAAGCACTTAAAATCCACGGACCACGCAGTAAAGAGCAACACGAGGATATGAAACACCGAGAGTCCCCCTAGAACGATGCAGGCATCGGTGAAATCGAGGCTCGGGATCGCGACGAAGAGCCAGAGAGAGTACAGTAGAGCGAACGGCCACGTGTCCAATCGCCATGGCCAGCGCCTCCTCTTGAGCAAGTCCACGCCTTCGACTACCTTGCCGTCGACGTGAAATCGCGGCATCGTGACGGCAAAACCCTAGAAATTTTGGGGAAAAGAGCCAAGATCTAGGGGCTTTTTTTTTAATATAGGGTTTTGGTCGACTGAGATCTATCGGATGCCGATGAGGGAAACTGGGGGCAAAGGAAAGTCGTGAGTTATGACCTCTGCTGAACTCGGCTTTCTTGGGGTTCATGGAGTGGGTCGGATCGGGTCGGATCCATGTGTTGTTTAACTAAATCCGATTGGAGATGATTTAGGTTGCTGGATTTTGATGGGCCCACAAAATTATGGGGGTAGCTTTCACAGAACCCACGAACTTGGGGGCCTTTCCTACTAACCGCCCTAAAAAACAATTTATTCCACTAAACTCTTTTAAACTTTTTAAATGTCTCATAAAACTTTCCGAAGTTTCAAATTTTTCTAATAGACCACTAATCAACAGGGTTGATCATCACTGGCCGGTTCCACAAGACACCCCGAAGTTTCATTGGGTTACTAATATCAGAACTTTCAGGATCTTTTTAGTTAATACTCCCAAAATTTTGGGGCATTTTGTAAATTTTACCCAAATTTATGTGACATCTCTACCGCAGATAATTTTGTGTGTACATTGGTCATCAACTTATGTTTCAGCACTTATACTCTTCAATTGATATTTTGAGAGGAACAAATTGTATATATATTCCTCTATAATAATGGGAGGACCCAAAAATTACTATTCATGCTACAGTAAACACTACATGTATCTATTCTTCTATTCTTCTATACAAATGGGAGGATCAGAGAATCACTGTTCATAGCACAGTAAGGGGGTGTTAGTCAATTGGGACATTTTCATGCAAAATGGGATAATTGTTAAAGTGGAATAATATTTCGCTAGTGGGATATTTTAGTGGGATAACTAGGAACAGTTTTGTGAAGCGGGATATTTTGATAAAATAACGTGGGATAAATTTTTATAATCATGAAGTATATATTTATGCATTTTGAAGATATAAATACTATTTACGTATTTTAAACTTACTACTATTAATTGATAATTGCTTATAAGAATGTTCGTTACTATTAAATAACTTTTGGTTAGACTATAAGATATTGACAATTATTATTATGATGATGGTCTAATGATGGTGATAACCATAATAGGAAATAAGTAAAGAAAAAATAAAAAATAATAAAATAAATACGAGTTCTAGTTTTTTACCACATAGTTCCAAGCTAAAACTTGGAATAATTTGAGAGACTAGAACTCTCATTTTTGTATAGAAAAAAAAAGGGATAATTTTGTACAATTATCTCAATTCTAGTTTTGTTAAAGTTCTGCTTGACTAACACTGTAAAATTTTATTCTAGTTTTAGTTCTATATGACTAACACCTTAAAATTTTGTTCTAGGTTTAGTTTTATGTGACTAACACCTTAAAATTTTATCCCACAGATTATTACAGTTCTAATTTTAAGTTCTAGGTGTCTAACCCCCCTAAATTGAACAGTAATTCTCTCTCCTCCCATTCTCGCTCTTCTCACGCCTATATCCCGTATCACCTCAAACCCCTCTGTCCCTACCAGCCCAAAATTCAAAATTCAAAACACACCCCCTCTCCGTCATAAATCCAGGCCCTCCCACGAGACAGCGATCTTTCCCTCTCTGAGATAAATCCAGGCCCTAATCCGTCATAAATCCAGGCCCTCCCACGAGACAGCGATCTTTCCCTCTCTGAGATAAATCCAGGCCCTAATCTCTCTCCCATTCCGATGCCAACCCTAGACTCCATCTCCTCTTCTCCAAACCTTCTCATCGCCATTTGCCTCTCAAACTCCAATTCCCTCATGATCTCCTCCTCCATCATTCTATTGTCAGCGATTTGTCTCGCAAGGATCTCCTCTCTCATCCGCTCCCGCCGGAGCTCCTCTATCAGGGCTTCCGCTCTTGACGTCATCACCAGCGGGGCGAAGCCGGAGCTCCAGATGTCGATTCCAGCTGAGATCAGGAACCAAATCAAAGTTTGAAGGAAAAAAGAAATCTAAAATTAGGGTTTTTGTTAGGTACCTCGAAGAGCCTGATCAGTGAAGTACCAGTAGTGGAGGAGTAGCACAAGGTCATGGGCATCATGAACTCGGCTTGCTAAATACTACGTCCCTCTCGAAGAATCAGAGAAGCACAAGGTCAGAATACGAGGTCTGATCTCTTCCCCTTTGCATAAACCTAGACATTTTCTTTGATTTTTGTTTTAATATTTATCCTTTTTGTTTAATTTGTTAGGTTCATAGGTTGGTGGTCAACAGGGATCATAAGTTCACCAATTTTGCTGAGGTATGTTGCCAAAAGATCGAATCTTTTTCTTGAATTGTTAGGTTTAAGTAAAATTGTTCAATTGTAAATGGTGAGTATAAGTTGACATTTCAGATGTGATTCTTTTTTTCATCAAAGTTTAAAGGAGAACACTTTTAGAAGCATTTTTTTTCTAACCGTGCTATGATCAGGAGTGTGAAATCAAATTTATAGACAAATTTCGTGGAGTTTGTTCTTTGAGGATGGTTTACGGGAGAAGGAAAAAAAATACCATCTAAAAAAATTTTGGTTTCATGCTGGGTAAGATGACATTGGATGCTATTTACATACTAAAATAATGTATTGAAATTTCTAGAATCAAATATATTTTCATGTGGTTGTCATTGATTTAGGCCAAAAAATTATTAGGTCCCTAAGAAACTAATTGGTGGATTAGAAAAGAAATAAGCTTCAAGTATTTACATTGATGTGGTTAAGGACATATGTCAGACTAGAAACCATGGTTGAAAATTGCTAAGGGTAACTAAAATAAGAACATACCACATCTTAGACTTCACTGAGGATTACATTAGGTACTTTTACATATGACAGACATATGAGTTTATTAAACTTAAGATATCCAAGGTAAAAGTCTTTTGATGCATATTTTACGAATTTAGGATACTATAAAAGGGATAATTTAGTTGTAGAAAGGCGTTGAGGAGTTCTAGAATCTAAAGGGGTACCAAATAGCAAGATAAAAAGATGTGATGCAACTTTATTAGCATGACCATGTGAATAACTGATAATGTAGAGCATTACTGGCCTATAAATCTTGGGAGTAACAATTTTCCTTTGTAAATCTAAATTTGGACCTGAGTAACAATTTTCATTAACATTGAATGGTTTTCATTTAAACTCTATGTGAATACAAATTTATTTTCATTAACTATTGTGCCTTTAATAAATGTATTCTCCTTCCAAATTCCCACCAACATACACTTTCATTTAAAGTCTCAAATAGAACTATTTTTGGTTAATCCCGTCCTTGAGAAGATCCTTTGCCTAATTTCTTCTTTTTTCCATTGTCAATTTAAAGGTTAGTGCTAATCAAATACAGTTGATTGTTAATCCATGCTTTAGTTCTAATCAATGTCTTAGCATGAGGCTAAATTGTGTTAATCAATGCTTGAATGTAGCCTATTCCTTGCTTTTTTCAAACTTCTCAATGCTTCGCACACAAAAAATCAGGTAAAAAAATGACACTGGCTCTAAATCTTAGCCTCTTTCTGTTATTTTCTATGGGCATTAAACAATTACATGTCAAAGCACTTCTGAAATTGACGTATAGTTCCATTTTTTCTACATTGTATAGTATACATATTGGACATCCACTTACAGTTTCACTTAATTTTTATGGAGTTATAGGTTATGAAAGTTGATATAATTAGTTTATGTACCTATATAAGCTATACGTTATGCAATTGTTTTCCCTAATTTTCATTTGTTATCGAGTGTTTGATATTTAATAATATTTCATCAAAGGATGCATTGCTTTCTGACATTTTTTCCATTTTATATTTAGCTGACTTATTGCCTTTTTTTTAATCAATTGTAGGTTGAAGATTCCTTGATCCTAACAAAACTCATTTTATCCTCTCTCCCTCTTTAATCTCCTCTCAAGTCTATTGTTCTTCTTTATTATCAAATTGTTTTCCCTTATTTGCATTTGTTAACAACTATCTATATAATTGATAACTTATTCATTATACATGCAGGAATACTCACAGTGAGAATAACTTGCGGTTATTGACGGCATCTGTCTCTTTCTCTGATACTCAACCAAAAACAATAAAGGCTTCACAACCACCACTTTATGAAGTTGTATTGCATATTAACATTAGTGAGTTATCTATTTAATAAATGATAACACCATCTTCTGCAATTATAGGACTACTTTTCCATATGCAATGTGTAAATCATTAGAGTTGTGAAGGAACTAGATGTCGAGATTGTGCAAAAAAAAAACAAACAATCAACTTCAGGACAAGTCTGTTGCAAATCATGTAATAGGGAAGTAGTGGCTCAAATCAGGTACACATTCATATGCATATTTCATAGTCATAATTACAAAGCACATGCAATATTATTTTCAATCATTACCAAGTTTATAATTACATAAATCAGGTACGTACAAAGCTATAAAGTGAAATATAGTTCAGCAATTATGACGTTTCTATAATTTGTGTTCTTAAATCGAAAATTATACAATATAGTAATAGGTATCCATCACCTCATATGCCTTTCATTGTATATTTGAATTTCAAATATTACTATCGTGCCTTCAATCAATGTATTCTCCCTCCAAATTCCCACCAACATACACTTTCATGTAATTTGGCTCAAATAGAATTATTTTTTTGAAATCTCGTCCTTCAGAAGATCATTTTCCTTATTTCTTCTTTTTTCATTGTCAATTTAAAGGTTAGTGCTAATCAAATACAATTGATTGTTAATCCATGATTTAGTTCTAAGCGTGGTGTTTTATCATGAGCCTAAATTATGTTAATCAATGCTTTATTGCAATATATTCCTTGCTTTTTTCCAGCTTCACAATGCTTCGTACACTACAAATCAGCTAAAAAATGGCACTGACTCTAAATCTTAGCCTCTTTCTGTTATTTTCTATGGACACTAAGCAATTACATATCAAAGCACTTCTGAAATTTTCTGAATGCTGAATTTTTTTGCTCTCACAAGCTCAAAAAGCTAAGTATTTATGATCTCAAAGACAAACTCACAATATTTTCAGGCATTTTTGAAATTATTTGGTACAATTTCATTGAGCCAGAAAATTGACGTATATTAAAGAAATTGTCGGCCTAGAATCACATCATTTCCTAAATTATTTTTGTGATCCGCTCCGTTGAACTTGATCTACACGTTCTTAAATCCAAACACACCAATTTTGGGGTGAACCCGTCATATTTTGACCCTTTATCCACTCGCTACAATTTTAACGGTTTCGAATGAATAGAACTTTTTGCACGGCTCAATGTTTTTGCTGTTTAAAGATGTTTAATAGGAGAGCGGAGGTCGTTTCGAGGCTGAAATCAAAAGAGGAGTGTGCAGCTCCTTTGATTTCATTCCTTCAGAATTCATCTTATGTTCAGGAGCACAAGGCTGATAAGCAATACAACATCCAGATGCTCAATGATTGGTTTAAGGTTCTTTTTTTATTTGCTATGGTTATATTGCTGAATTTATTTAATTTAAAATTGAACATAAATCTGCAGATTAGTTGTTATTTTGCTGTAGTGAATTAACTTTTGCAATGTCGTTCCCAATCTTTGATTGAATAGCTAACATTTATTTGGTCGTGCAAATTGGTCCAGAGCAGATAGAAGCTTTATATCAGTATGCAAAGTTCCAATTTGAGTGTGGGAGCTACTCTGCTGCATCTGAATTTTTGTATTAATATCGTGCGTTGTGCACTAACAGTGAAAGGAGCCTTAGTGTACTTTGGGGAAAACTTGCAGCTGAGATTTTAATGCAGAACTGGGATGAAGCTCTTGAGGAACTGAATCGTTTGAAGAGATAATGACTCAAAAGGTGATTCTTTATGTCCTTCTTTCCCTCTTCACTGCATTAAAAGATAGGATTTGGTTATATGGATCAAATAAACAAGATGTTTCCATGAATCAAGAAGTCCATAATTATTAGGAGGTAAAACATTTGGACTTTCTGAAAATACAGTTACATTTCTAATATAGCAATAGAAAGTAAAGATATATTTCCATTATCATTAATAACTATCTGACATAGTTACATTTCTAATATAGCAATAGAAAGTAAAGATATATTTCCATTATCATTAATAACTATCTGACATAATTTTACTATATATTAAGTTTCTTTGTTGTAGTTGGCACAAGATTTTTGACTCCATGACATATTCCAATTAAGATCTAGAGGTTGAAATTATAAGTGATTCCCTAACATGTTTTTATTCGTGGACTTGCTTCCATTTGCAAGGTGAATTAGGGGCTAGATATCTAAAGCTCCACTTTAGATATCTGTCTCCTCATCCATTTAATGTTTTCTAAAATTTTTGAAATTTGAATTTGGTTTTAATTTCAGGAAATTAAGGTTAACTTGATAATTGAAGACTATTATATGCCTTGGATCAGTATGTAAATTATGGTTAACTTGATAATTGAAGACTATTTATGGTTTTTTAATCATATTTTGATATGAGTTTTGTTTTTTAATGGTGAATTAGGATTGCGTGGTCGAGTTTCAGGTCAGGCCATATTTATTCTTGGAGGGCATCTTATGTTTATGCTCATGGTTTGTTCTCTACTCCCTTTTTCAAAGGAATATTTTTATGTTTACTTTTTTTTGAATGTGTGCATTTATTTGTATTTGAAATTCCCTCTATAATAATGAAAGCTCCTTTTTTCTTCAAGTTCATTTATATGAACAAACTATAATAATGTAACATTACGATACCTCTATGCAATATATTCATGTATATGGTTATTATATTGAATATTGAGGATTTTGACAAACTATAATAGTGTAACATTAAAATACCTCTATGCCTATATATTCATGTATATGGTTATTATATTGAATATTGAGGATTTTGACCAAATAGTGATGATTGTTTGATTTAGTGTTGAAGATATGGTGTTAAAGTGTGATGTTTATAAACAAAGAAATTTTATGTCATTTGGTGTTCTGTAATTTACCTCTTTTAAAAAATTTGTTTTTTTATATCTGTATAATTGGTTGGTGTTGTATTCTAAGTTGGTTGATTAGATTTGTTAAGAACAGAGATGTAATATTTAGTGTTGTATAATGCACATCATGTGCTACATAACCTACAAATATAATGAGAATCATTGGGCGATCTTGGGATTCTACCTTCAAATGATAGGGTTTCTAATAGTCGAAGTATTTAACTTTTAACTAGAGAATAGTTAACATTTTGCGTTATTTTCTGAATTTTGCACTAAGTTGTTGAATTACTGCTATCACGCTGTATGGATCTCTATTTGACTAAATGTTGCTTTCTTATACTTTGCACCCTATATCTCTTGAATATAATGAATTGATGGCACTATCAGTAATAGCAATCTGGTTGTGGCTTTATTCTTAAAAATTTATCTCAACTTTAGATTTCTGGAGATGTCATTACTCATTAGATGATTTGCTGAAAAATAATTTTCCCTTCAGGCTAATTGGACCGGAGATGCCATCTCGGAAGTTATTAGCTACAACTAATGATTTGACTGATGCAGAGAACTTACTCAGGTATTTAGTCATAGAATTTTTCTTAAGCCATTTTTCAATATAGTGTCTGTTTACTTATTCAGCTTTGTCATTGTCTATATATGGCATGAAAAATTATTTGAATAATGTCGAGCAAATATAATTATATTATATAACTACCATTCATACAAGCTATATCTAATTTTTGGTTTTGTTTACATTGAGATTCTGGCATAGCACCCTTTATATGATTTCATGACTAGAATATGAGCTTTTATAGTTATATTTTTGACATGAGATGAAATAAATAGGACCTAACTAAAGCACAAGCTCTTTTTCTATTGAGTTAAATCTCCATGAATTTTCATCAAGACCTTGAGCATTGTTTCTTATCAAAATTGGATTATCATGCCGTGTTAGCAAAATTGAAACACAAATTTCATCTTCAACGACTACTTGCTCAAGTATTGTGATCACTATCAGGTCAAACCTTTTTCTTACCGACCTCTTAATGGTAATATACATTTCTCTTTTTTTCAATCGTTACATATTTCTAATCATGCAACTTGCAGTCGATGTTAGGATGATTACATTTTTTTGTCAATTTTAGTTTAGAAGGCATCTTAAAGCTATATATTAGGATATCCAATGCTACAGTAAATTAAAATTTGGATCGTCCTCTAAATATAAAGAAGTAGATATGATTTCTAAATCAAATTTAAAATTTGGATCCTCCTTTAAGTATAAAGGAGTAGATATATGATTTCTAATTTTAAGCATACAATAATCATATTAAATATTTTAAAACTTAGAGAAAAGTAAGTTCAAAATGCAATACTTAAAAAAATAGCGAGCCGTGCTTTGCACGGGGTGCACACTAGTTCCTCTATAATGACAGGACCAAGAATCACTATTCATGCTACAGTAAACACTGTATTAATTCATACTGTAGCATTATTAAAAATATTGCTGTAGCAATTTGAAAAAAATTTGTTGGGATACTGCAGCATTAAAAAAATATATTGATATAGCATTTTAAAAAATATATTAAAACAATTAAAAATGAGATTACTGTAGCAATAAAAAAAGGAAAGATCGTGCTTCGCACAGGGCGCACACTAGTTATTTATGAATTAAAGGTCGATAAGTGCTAGCAACATGGTGGTAGTTGCAATTACTACGTAATCTTAATAGTATAGCAACCCGATTATTTTTCTTAATGTCAATAATACCATTGATTGTTGAAACTCATTAAATCATTATGCGTCTATGATTTGTTTCTTTTGTCGATCTGCAATAGAATTTCGTTTTACTAATCGAGTAGACACAGGAAAACACCAAAGACTAGACAATTCAGTTCATAGAGAAACGGTTAGATCTAATCTAGCCGAATGCATATATTATCTATTATCTAATACTAAAGTATTATAAAAGTTTGTTGCTATGTTGAAACATTTCTTTCAATTTTTCTCTTAAACGCACATACATACATTATAAATCATAAACATCAAAAATATACACGCTAATTATCATACCACCTATCAAATGTCTACATACATTGATGCATACATACGTACTCAACACTAATGAGGATTTTTAGAACAGATAATGTTCATATACACAACCTGGCTACAATTGATGATGAATTCTTAGAATTTTATTTGTAGGTCATATTTATTAACAAAATAGGTATTTTCCTACGTAATTATGGTGTTGTTCTAATTTATAGAATTAATAATGTACTTTTATAGCAAACTGAACGAAACTTAACGGGGTGTTTGTTTAGTTGTAAGTGAAAATTGTAAGTATGAAAGTCACTTATTCTTGAGACTTCATTTGTTTGTTTTATTGAAAGTAATAGTGAAAATGAGATCCAAAATATAGTTCACTTTAGGGGGTGTTTATTTGCATGCAAGTGAAAGATGAAAGTGAGAAAGTTACTTTCATTTAACAATTAAGGTGTTTGTTTTCATGTAAGTGGTTATGAAAGTGAGATGCAAGAAAGTTGTCACATATAATTTAAGGCAATTTTGACTTCTCCTAAAAAAGTGGTGAAGTCACATGAAAGTGATAAAAATGTAACTAATTTAATTAAATAATTTTAATTATACTCTCTAATTAATCTTATTTTACCACGTCATCTTCACATTGCACTTTCGATAATAATTTAATTTTTCAGACAAACACTGTATTTCATTTGCGTGCTGACATGGATGTAAAAGTCATTTGCAAAAAAATAACTTACATATTTTAAATTCACTTTCAGATTGCCAAACATCCTCTTAGATTTTTTGCAATTTCAACATCCCCTAAAAAAGTGCATAAGTGAGCTATGAAAGTGAAAAGTGGGGACCACATTATATTAAAAAATATTATAATAATTAATATATCAGATTTTTTTCATCTTCAACGATATTTCATGTCTAATTTTTCTCTCACGCCTCTTTTCTCTTCCCGCTGTATTTTTCCCTTTTTTCTTTTTTACCTCTATAGAACTAATCCCACTGTTTTTCCCCGCGTTTTGAATACTATTCTCATCATTGTTTGTTGCTAGTTTGAAATATGTCACTGATATTTGTTTCCATTGAAAATAAATAATTGGGTTATTTACATTTTGTAGCTTGGGTGTTCTTTGTGATTCTCTCATCTCCATATGCAAGTATTACAAAAATAATTTGATCATAATGTTAATAATACCAAGAATTTCTTTTTTGCTAAAATTTTGCCAGTGAGATTATACTAGAACTATCCATGATGATTGCTTAGTTTTGGGTATATATGTCTTAGATTTTATTTATTTTGTTAAATTAGTGCTGATGACTACATGATCTTAGTCATGGATATGGTTCAAAATAGTAAATAGAGAATGTAAGTGATTTAAAGAAAAACATGTTTTTTTAATATATAAATAAACAAAATAATGCTGACACATCATCCTCACTTTTATACTTTCAACAATAACTTTTTTTTTTTTGCAAACAAACAATGTATGTCACTTATATCAGTTATATGCTGACTTGGATGCATTTTCGCACTTTCAAAGAAAAGTCAATTTCATACTTTCAACTAAGTTGCAAGTACACAAACACCCCCTTTCTTTCTTTTTGCTATAATTTTTCTAGCTTGAAATATTATTTTATTGTTAACGAAAATGTGCCGACGCGAATAATAACATGCAGACAAACCCCGCTATTGAGCCAGGCCCATGGCAAGCTAGATCGTGGAAGCAGGCATGCGTTAATTTGGATGACCGTTTAATTTCTTTCACATTAACCTTGACTAGATAATATAATTACTCCACCCATAATAATTACCAATTAATACAATTATTAATTTTCCACGTCCTCTGAATCAACCGTTCTTTTAGAATTAATTTTGTTGTTTCATTTCACACCTCACATAAACAGTCGTGCCAACTCTGTAATTAATAATTAATCCTCCGATGTTGCCTCTTCATTTCCCTAATAACAATTGTTCTTATAAAATCTCATTAGTCTTCTCGTAGTAAACTGATATTATCATTAACTTGAATAAACTTGCATGATCCATAAAGACAGATAAAACATTTAGGCTGCAACTATGGATTTTGTGTGAGGTTTTCTTGCCGAAAAAGCAGAGACATGATCAAGGAAGAAACACTACGAAATTGCATAAATAACTGCAATTTCTTAATAGTTCTGAAGCCAACAGTTGAAAATTGAGGGCATGAAATTATCTAGTAGATTGTAATGTTAACTATGGGGAAAAAAAGCTAGCAATAAATAACTACTCGACGACCTAATTACCGGTTGCCCCAATAAGTTCTGAAGCCTCATTATAAGGTCCACCTCAGCGTCCTCAAACTTTCCTCTCTTAAGGGCATGTTTGGATTTCAATGGGGTTAAGGGAAGTTAAGGGAAGCTAGGTGAGAGAAGAGAAGGGAAGGGAAGGGAGTTCCCTTCCCTTTCCTTCCCCTTGGTTACACCCCAATTTGGGGGTTAACAAATTTTATACTATTAAGGGGTGAACTAAGGGGAACTAGGGTGAATAACTTCACCTCCTAAATGTTCCCAAACAAGATGAATGGTTCCCCTAACTTCCCTTCTCCTGTATTCCCCTCAATCCAAACAAGCCATAACGCTCTGATAAAGACAATTCAACCAAATCTTAGCCTGAGCTCTTTGCACACACCTATTGAGGCCATCAGCTCCAAAAGAAACTAGCATGTAATCAACAGATAGTTTCTGTAAGAGTTACTGAAGAGTTGATAGGAGTTGCAGCTGACAGTTTAAAAAGAGGAACATAAATCCACTTCTCCCAAAAATAAGTTACTTAAAAAATTTGGAACACTAGAACAAAGATAAACATGTGCCAGAAGTTAGAATTTGGGTGCAAAAATAAGTTTATTGCAGGATACGGGTGAGGGTTCGGATACGGGACACAGTAAAATCATAAAAAGTTAGGATACGGGAACACACCTATGTATATATATATATATACATATATGAAAATTAATAATATATATGAAATCAGTATTGTTTTTCATTCACAGGCTATGAGAACTAAAATCCTTGTGTACCATTTTTATGTTTCTTTTATTGAGTAGATTATCAATTGAAAAACCGCTCATTTTTTAACTACATACCCAAAGTCCCTATAAAATCATACTTATGAACTAGGGATGTGCAAAAATGAATATGTCCTGAGTCTAACAAGTTGCATAATTTTGAGGTTAAGTGTACGATAATACGTTGAAGAAGTGTATCACGAGTTTTTTTTTACCTAAACCATGTGTTATATATTGAGTACACATCTAAATAAATATTTATATGTATCCAAGAAGTGTCCAAGGAGTGTCTGACATAGACATGGATATGAGAAGTGTCGGACACGGATACGACAACCCATATGAAGTGTCTGGGTAACTTTGCTATATACTAAAGTTAACGAAAAAATGAACAGTTGTTGACTACAGTAAATTCTCGTGTTATTTATTATAAGGGGTTTTTGTTTTTAGGCCCATTTGTTTACTCAACTTTTATCTTCAAATCCAAGCATTATTACTTGTATCTTTAAGCCCAATTCTCTTTTTGTATTTATCTTTAAACCCAATCTCCGAAACACAATACTTAAAAAACTTGTATTTATACAGAAACAGGGTAAAGTTCCCAAAATACCCCTTTCATTAGCCCATATAAACCCAATTCTCTCTCCTCATTTGTGCCTTTTCAATTTAAACCCTAATTGAAAAACGAAAATCCTCCTTCTCATGATCGTCCTCGCTACTGTCGCCTACTGTCGTCTCCCGTCGCCTGCTGCCATCTCCCGTCGCCCGTCTCCCTTCGCCGTTGCCGTCGCCCGACTCCGTCGCTCGGAGCCCGTTGCCTTGGCCATTGTCCGTCACCCGCCGCCGTCACAGTCCTTGGAGGTATGCTCTAAATCTTCGATAACAATAATGTAGTTTCAGATGCGCATCAGGTGATGATAATGATCATTTCAAAAATTTTTGGGGATAAATTTTAGCTTTTTATTCATTTTTTTGTGCTGAATATGATCACATTTTGGCTATGCGCGGCAACGAAATTAGGTTTCAGTTAATTTTGGCTTAAATCAAAATTGCTAAAAATTGCTAATTGGTATTTTAAATAATATTAATCGCCATGGATTTTGTTGCATGTAAGAGATCTTTGAGACCCGAACGCGAATTCTTGTTTGCATGAGTGACAAAATCTGGCAAATTAATCTTGTTTCGTTGCACATGCTCTTTCTTGAGAATTTTATAGTTGCAAAAACCTTTTTTTCACAAATTGATTACAATCAACATGATTTTCGCGAATCACGTTTAATCCATCTACCCAATGCGGAAACCCCAAATTCGTAGGATGAAAAATGCAAAAAAAGAATAATTTACTTGATAAAATCCCAGGATGTTGAACTTGTCGGCCCCATTCTGTTTTCAGTGCAACGTTGTCGACAATCTCTTAGTTCATCTATTCACTTTTGTTTTTGTTTCAGGATGACTGATGAGACTATCTGTTGTTTTGTGTAATTGTTCTTTTTTTTATATCTGGTTTAAATTGTGTCATGTGGAGTGAATGAAATAATTTTTATATGCACTGAAGAGCTTTGCTTGTTCGTGAAAAGTCTAGCTTCAAGGTGTGTAGAATCATCCGAATAAGGAATACTTCTTGTCACAAGATAGAAAGTGTTGATGTACCTCAACAACTTGGGTTAGTGTATTCGACTTATCCGTATGTTGTTGTTTTTTTCGTATGTGCTAACACATATAAACTATATATTGCGGGCCAACAGTGTCATATTGATATTGTAAACATTTAAATTTGTAGTAGCCTGTATTGCGGGGTGTTCTTGATGGCATACATGTTCAGTCTCGTTTCCGGTCAACCAATTTCAATTGACCAAAAGGATTGTGTAAGACATAAAGCTCGTATCGTTGCTCTATTTATATCTGAAGATATATTTTCCATAAGTGTAATGTTCATTGAACCGCTTATATTTAGTCTATTGTTCTTTTGATCCGCTTATATTTTGATTTCAGGATATCAACGTGATCCTCAAGACCAATTCCCCGGATGCTAGATGTCAAATGTGATATCCAATATTTTTTTATATAAATATATATTTGGAAATTAATTTATAAAGTATTGTCTCAGTATGAAACCTGTAGGACTGCTGTTGGAATTGGTTATGTAAAGTTCGGCCACAATTTTGGGACATGTATATAGTTTGTCAATTCTAGGAGTTCTGTCAAATGTGATATTCAATATTTTGGAATTACTTGGAGCATTGCATCCAGTTTCTTCTCCCTCGATGGAGCACTCATTTATTTTGTTTTATATAAATATATGTTTGGAAATATATTTTAATTCCGAGGCTTGTGTTTTTGTCTTGTAGGCTAAAATTTCAAAGGTTTGTAAGCTACATTTTAGGTTATAGCATGAAACATGTAAGTATAGCACGTTATCCTGTAAGTATAGCATGAATTCATAAAAATTATTAAAATTTGTTATGAATTGATAAAAATAAGTTAAATTTGTTATGATTGATAAAAATTTAGTTAAATTTGATTTTAGTATAGAATGATAACCTGTAAGTATAGCATGAAATACAAGACTTGTAAGTATAGCACGTTATCGTGTAAGTATAGCACGTTGATAAAATTTTAGTTAAATTTGATTTTAGTATAAAATGATAACATGTAAGTATACCATGAAATACATGACTTGTAAATATAGTATGTTATCGTGTAAGTATAGAACGTTATCCTGTAAGTATAGCACGTTGACCAAAAGTATAGTATGTTATCCTGTAAGTATAACATGTTATCCTATAAGTATAATACATTATCCTGTAAGTATAGCACGTTAATCAAAAGTATAGCACGTTATCCTGTAAGTATAACATGAATTCATAAAAATTATTAAAGTTTGTTATGAATTGATAAAAACGCTATACTTCCAGGGTTTCATGTTATACTTACAGGATAACATGATATACTTACTGGACAACATGCTATACTTATAGAATAACATGCTATACTTACAGAATAACATGGTATACTTATAGGGTTTCATGTTATACTTACAGGATAATGTGCTATACTTATAGGATAACGTGCTATACTAACAGGATAATGTGTTATACTAACAAGTCTTGTATTTTATGCTATACATACAGGTTATCATTCTATACTAAAATCAAATTTAACTAAAATTTCATCAATTATAACAAATTTAACTAATTTTTATGAATTCATGAATAATAATGAGAAATTAGTATGAAATAATCATGTGAAATAATAATGTGAAATTAATGGGTGGTTAATTACAAAGCCTCATTTAACTAACATTTTATCAAAAATAACAAAATTTAATAATTTTTATGAATTCATGAATCATAATGTCAAATAATTGTCATGCATAAAATGAGAAATTAATTCTATAAACTTGGTAGTTCAGTAAATTACAAAATTGTACCTTCAAATGCTAAGAAAGTGGGTGAGAATTAATTGATAGGTTATAAGAGAGAGTGTACGAATCTGTTAATGGAGTAAGAGAAAGGGAGATGAAGAGGGGGAGAGAGAGAGAGAGAGAAGAGGGGGGGGGGGGGGGGGGGGNAAACAGGGAAAAATCCCCCGTTTCTCTCTCACTCTCTCTCCATTTTTTTAGGGGGGGTGGGGGGCTACTTACATGAAGACTATTATTGGAATTTAAGAAAAATATTTAGGAGGACCCACATATGAAAGTATTATATTTTGGAGATTAGGTTTAAAGATAAATACAAAAAGAGAGTTGGGCTTAAAGATACAAGTAATAATGCTTGGGTTTAAAGATAAAGTTAAGTAAATAAATGGGACTAAAAACAAAAACCCCTTATTATAAAATGCTTTGGATAATTAAACACCAACTTCGTAGTTCAGTTGACAATTGACTTGAGCTCCCACACAAAGGTCACAAGTTCGATGCTCGCTTTGCCTTCCTTGAAATCTTTCATCGTATCTTTGAATTTTCTCATTTGAGATACTGATTCAAGATATTATTCAAGTTTCTTTTTCTTCCATCAAAATTGCGGCTTAGGTTTTTGTTTAAGGGTTTTCTACCGTCAATTTTTCTAGCCTAATCAAGAGGCGCTAGCTGTATCCATTTCTGAGAACATAAACAGGGTAGCGATGGAGGATAGCGAGGAGAGCACAACATTAATGCCTCGTTTAGTACGCGGGAATGGACTCGAATGAGAATGGAATGGAAGAAGGAATGGAATGAAATTAATGTGAGAATGGAATGATCATTCCCATTCTCACATTTGAGTGTAATTTATAAAATAAAGTGGGAATGGACGTATTTTAAAATTATATATTTTATTAATTCCCATTTAAGTGGAAATACTTATTCCCTATCATTTTATTAGGAATGCTCATTCCTACTAGCGAGAAAAAGATGGAAACAACGAGCGTCAAAACGCTAGCGAGAACATCTCCACCGCCCCCAGGAGAAAGGGGGTTAGGTGTATAAAAATACTAATCATAGCATAGATAAATATTTAAATCATATATTCTGAACTAAGAGGAGTTAAGATTTAGAAATTCACAACACGAGATGAGTACATCAAGCGAAATAATCCAAATAAGGAAACCCTCATATATATATCATGTATCTCAAATTGTAGAACACTAAATATCGACTCCAAATCCTATAAATAAACAATAAACAAAGGAAAATATATCGTCAACATCTCATCCAAAACAAGTCGTATATGTCGTATCATAGTATCTCACGCTACCCTCAGATAGGTGGCACAGAAACAAATGTACAATCCGGTGAAAGCCTTGTCAAAGTATATACCACCACATAAGAATGTCACATGTTAGACTACGCCCACAAACTGTACTCGTCTGAGTCCTAGGCGTCCTTAATATGCAGTGTGTAGTCGTTCGCAGTATCATGCGGCTCTCGGACTAACGCTCTCGGAGTGCAGTCGCCCGCTATATCATACGGTGCACGGATATGCGCACTCAACCACCAAAATAATAATGCATCACGGAGTATAGTCGACCGTGTTCTCATTACGGTGCACAGACTAACGCACGCAGAGTGTAGTCGATCGTGTTCTTATTACGGTGCACGAACTAATGCACTCAAGCATCGAAACAATGATGCATCACGGAGTGTAGTTGACCGCGTTCTTATTGTGGTGCACAGACTAACACACTCAGAGTGTAGCCGACCGCATTCTCATTGCGGTGATCGGACTAACGCACTCAAGCATCCACAACTATCGTAAAATGAAACAATCGTCACTCCTTATCGTGATAAACACAAAACATTAGACTACGCACATCAAAAGGCTCGCGCGTGCTAAACCCAATACGTGCACTCTCATGGTCATGCACGTGTATCGAAGTGCGACTCGTACTTCGTGTTTGCGATCAAACGTACGTGGAAGATCAACATTTACAATACAGCACCAGATCAATTGACCGATACCTCATCAGTCGACTAGGTGACGACGTGCATGAAACATGCACAAACATCCCACCTTGATCGGTCGACCGATACATATGTCGGTCGACTGACCAGAGAAAAATCCCCAAGAGAGAAATTTCCAGGTCTTAAGAAAATTAGTTTTGATCGGCTGATCCTTCTGATCAGTTGACCAACCAGGTGACAGATCAAAAACGTCAGGTTTTCTCTAAAATTTGCCAAAGTCGCAATTTTTTTCAAAGAAACTCATATATAAAATCTTGATTTAGTGTAATTAGGGTTTACTCTAATACATGAAATCACCAATATAAATTTGAGGGAATCTAATAACCCTAACATGATTATGTTTGTAAATTCATCATGAAAACAATTAAATTAGCAAAAATCTCATATTAGGTTTACTTCAAATCTTCAATCCTAATTAACGAATTCATTTCATAACTTTTAAATCAGAAAAAAAATAAACTTTTACGTCATAAATTTAAGGGGGTGATCTCTACACATATAATAGGTTTTAAATCCAATAAAAACCAAGAAAAAATGAGGATGGGTTTGGACGAGATGAAACTCACCTTTTGAAAACGTTTTGATCTGTCAAACGTGGAAGAAAATCTAATCCTTTTTCACACAAGCCGTAGATCTCGCCCTCCTTTTGAACCCTGCTTCACCAATCTTCGCCTAAAGTAAGATATAATTTTCTAGGATTTTGAGGGGGGTTGGCTACTGCTCAGAACGTGAGGGATCAAGAAGAAAATATGAGAAAGTCGGGTACACACACAAAAAAAAACAGACCCGACCCGAAACCAAACAAAATCTTCAGCTACCGATCGGTCGACCGATATCTGGGGTCAGTCGACCGACCCGAAGAACCCTGCTTCACCAATCTTCGCCTAAAGTAAGATATAATTTTCTAGGATTTTGAGGGGGGTTGGCTACTGCTCAGAACGTGAGGGATCAAGAAGAAAATATGAGAAAGTCGGGTACACACACAAAAAAAAACAGACCCGACCCGAAACCAAACAAAATCTTCAGCTACCGATCGGTCGACCGATATCTGGGGTCAGTCGACCGACCCGAATACTGAAGCAGACTTG